TTGAAAAAACTAACTAGGAAAATCAATTATATTGCCTATTCGCGTGAGAATCTTAAGTTTTCTTATTTTGACATAATAGCTATTTTTCAATAAATATATTGATATAAAACTTATTGAATCATTATTTTAAGTTTCAGGCCAGTTGTACCAAAAGTTATAAGCGGTAGCGCATTATAACCAGGACAAAGAATGGGTCATACAGAAGCCCAATTTCTTGGTTTTTCCTATGATTTTCCAATGATTTTGGCGGTTAGCACTTTTTTCCATCCAGCAAACCGCCCTATCGATTTTCTAAAGTCGTTTTTTTTCAATTTTTTATTAATTCGATTAGGGTTAGAGTTAGGGTTGGGGTTAGGGTTAGCCTAGAGTAGGGACTAGGTGTAGGGTTTGTGTTAGTTACATAGCCATTTAAAGGCCGCTTTCCACTTCAACCGTATCGTACACGCGTAAAAACGTTCAGGTTGATGCAATACTGATGAAAACAGGATTGAACAATGTTTTGCTGCCCACATTGTTCATAGCTGTCAACAATATTGAACAATATTCAGGCTCAACAATAGTGTTCAATATTATTATTTTTTTTTTTTTTCTGTGTTGGTGTAGTGTACTCAGGTGAATATGATATTTGTGGTGTTACTCTGAGTGTATATCCACACCGGGCGAGCTTGAAAAATATGGGCTAGTATTCCAAAGGTCGTAGGTTCGAATCCCACCGTGGCCGGGCATATTTTTCAAGCTCGCCCGGTGTGGATATACACTCAGAGTAACACCACAAATATCATAGTGTTCACTATTGTTGACAAGTGTGAACAATGTGGGCAGCAAAACATTGTTCAATCCTGTTGAGCAGCGGGCTCGGCGTTATTTTCCGGTTACCAAAACGTAGCGTATTTCTTTGCTCCTGAGCGCTAGAGTGGAACTAATGATTTCAACACAAAAGAAAATGCTACGATACGGTCGAAGTGGAAAACAGGTTTAACACCTCTTCTCTCTTCCGAAAATGACGTCAGGTCAGTTTGCTGGATGGAAAATACTGCTACTATTAGGATTGCAGGCTTTCTTGCCATCCTACTTTTCCTACTTTTTCCTACTTTTCTTCAACTTTCCTACTTTTCCTATTTTTTATTAAAAATTGCTTGATTTTCCTACTTTTTCCTACTTTTTCTCATATAATCCTACTTTTATAAGACAGCTTGGGGATCAGTATGTTATAGCTCTCGTAATTAGATCTATAGGACTCGTAATTTTTATTCCCTATTTGTGTCCCAGATGATAAGATCTCAGGAGGAGAAGAAGACATTTTCCGAGTATAAATTATAGCATCTCTAGAATCATAATCAATAATTAATAAGACTCTGAAAGTGCCATTTCCGACGATCTAGAGATTCCAAATATTCAACTCCCCCCCAGTTAATCAAGCATCATATATACAGGGCCGTAGCAACCGGGGGGCTGCAGCTCCCCAATAATTTGCTAATAATCATTTTTTTTCAAAATCATGCAGACCTTTATCATTTAATCCATGACATGCAAACTGCAAAGAATGAAGATATTACCCATACTTTCCTGCAACTTATCGAATATATAGTTAATTAAATACGCCTTCGCCCATTTAGTACTGCTAAATTGTAAATTTCGACATACTAAAACGCTGTTTTCTGACCATTAGAATTCTGTCAAGTTTTCCCCAAAGTCCAGGAAACGGCATTTCAGAGACTCTAAATTTAAAAATTTCCTCGGGCCTTCGGCCCTCGCTTTCAGCCCCCCACCCCCAATCGAAAACAGCTTCCTACGGCCCTGATATACGCTTCTGCCGTAGTGCGGATTGGTGCATTGTGTAGCCCAATACATACATTTGAATTGTGTTGCTGCAGAGCAGAATGAGCAGATGCCTTAGCTTTTATACCGATGCAATTTAAACGTTTTGAGAAAAAAATCCTGCATAGATGAATGAGTACATAAAAATATTGAGCACCAAAAATTCACACAACTTCCCTATCAGATATCTAATGGTCTACCCCTTACCACATATATCCTAGGGGGCCAATTTTATATATTTTTGTGTTATTTGCATCTCCAAAACTCCTACTTTTGTCCTACTTTTCTACATGTTTTCCTACTTTATTCCTACTTTTCCTAAAATTCTAGTCCTACTTTTGTCCTACTTTTCTACACAAGGATGCCAGAAAGCCTGATATATATATATATATATATATATATATATATATATATATATATATATATATATATATATATATATATATATATCTCGTATAAAATAGAACATGCATGTTCGTTGTATATATATATTCTTGGTTTGTCCACCTGCACTCCAGGTCCTAACTAAAATATATGGGGCCTTCTGATTGGCTATTTGATATCACTACAGTTAGGTATACGGACCTTGTGCCAAAATAAACATAGAAGTGAAAACAACTTTCTAACATAAACCACTACCCAAAAGGCTGCTAACGCAACTAAAGACAGAAAAACTAATAAACTTGAATTAGCTTTTATGAACTATCAAGCCTGAAATGTATTGTAATCCAATCAGAATGCCAAAAAAAGTATTTTTCACGTAACATCGAAAATGCTGTGCTATGCATATAATTTTGTTTTAACGCTCGTAAATGCATACATTGAGCTATATACAGTACTTGAAGCATACAAACATTGGAACCTTTGGAGCATACTTCTTGTCCTCAAACACTTTTATTTTTACTCAATTTGGTCAAATATTCTCTACTGTATAAGAGTGCTGTCAATAAGAACAAAATGTTTTTGGCGAGTAATATCTGTAGCTGCATGCGTGTCCAAAAAAAATTCTATGTCATAATTCTAATCTTTACATTTGTACATTTTCTATAAGTTCTACTTTTAATCATTGTACCTGACTCTTCCACAGTCTTCAACAAAGCAGGCGCTTGTATGTGCATGCAGGTCAACCTCGTTTTGCTTGCGGGTTGGAACAATAGCAGCGGTGTAGCCAGCTCGATAATTGGGGGGGGGGCATATTCATATATTCGTTATCTGCATTATTAATTTCTTTTGAAATCAATTGTTTTTAAGGTCTGTGAACACGGATATATGAATATGGACACCCCATATCGAGCTGGCTACGCCGCTGAACAATAGAACGCAAAGTTGTTGAGTAAAGAAATGTCGATTGGATCAAAACCATGCAGAGCCAAAGGCTTTAAAATTGTACTTGTATAGCAGTTTGTTAGCCAATGCAAGTTTTAACTACACAACGAAGTAACAAACACCACTGATCTCAAATATATAGTTCGCAACAGTGGAATTTTTCGGCAATTTAATTAAGCATGAAGGACAAAAAATAAGTACGTAAAATAATTAACGTTAAGACTTTCCCGAGATCTCTGAAGCGTCCCGAGGGCGATGATGGGTTTTTCTCAGTTTGGGCCTTCCAGCCAGCGGTATAGAGGGGTGGTGGGGGGGGGGAGGGGGGCTCAACCACTTTTGTTACAAGGTCAGTGGGGCAGATATCCTAATAGTTTTGCAGATTGCATATTCATTACGTGGAAAGTTCTTTTCAACTGTAGTGTTGAAATGATACGATAATGATGTTTGTACTTAGTAATCTGTACTTGATTACTATGAGCGTACTATTAGGTCATGTATGTGGCCCCAACATGGTATATCGATCGGAATCTTATATTTGAAGTTAAGTCCTTTCTTCAAAAAGAAATCACTAATTGAAGAATTACTATAGAAGCAAAAAATAAATATTAGAACTTTCCATGTTTATAATGCGACTGCTTTTGAAAAATATTCGTTATAGTCCGGTTCACTATATTGTGGCAACAACTTCGTGTTATGTGACATCATCAATATGCAAAACCTTCATATAAGTTCTTTGTATGTTTGCATGGCGATAAAACATATAATAGTTTTGTTTGTGGAAACACCACGTAAATTATTATAAAACTTTTATAGTTTTGTACTTGATGTATTGTTGCTGTATTTTTAATATTTAATTTCAAACACCAAAAAAAGAAAAAAAATATGCTTACTAATTCCAATGTAAAGAATATTTACGTCTGCCACTCTTATTAATTAAACTTGCCAGTGGGATATAAATTATGATTTTTTTGTAGACCCCGATAAAAGATGGAAATTACGGCTACGTGGATACACGTTCTCTGGTTGCTAAAGTTGTACGAATTTCTCCTTACAGTTGGACCAGCTATCCATGTTTGAGGGTGGAATTCGTTGGCTGCCCAGCGCAAGGTGAATAGTTGTTCAACTTGCAATATTGCACAATCAACTAACTAGTCGTCATGCATCCATTTTGCGAAAGTCTACAATGCATCCTTCCTTAACTCTTCCCTCCTCTCTCGTTTGGCGTCTTGAGAAATTCGTTACCCGACCTAGGACATGTCAGAGACCTCCCACCTGTGACTTCATAATCAGGGGCGAAACTATAGCCCCTTTTAATTAGGGGGTGTCTGCTAGAATTGCCCTGCGAAAGCCGATGATGCCCTGCAGCAAAAAAAAATTTTTGGCCACTACAGTAAAGTCTCGAAAGTAAACGCCCCCTCGAAAGTAAGCGCCCCTCGAAAGTAAGCGCCTTTTTCAACACTTGCTAGAGAATCTGGAAAGTAAGCACCCCCTCGAAAGTAAGCGCCCCCTCGAAAGTAAGCGCCCCCACCCACCCCCGAATAAGGTTTTGTAAAGTTGTAAAACATAGGGTATATATAAAAGAAACTCTCTAAACCATATGTATATCATATATACTCTATAGCATGGATTTAAAAATGGCCGATGCTGAAAATAACAACTCGAAAGTAGGCGCCCTTCGAAAGTAAACGCCCCCTGAAAAGTAAGCGCCCCTTGAGGCAACTAATTTCGAAAGTAAGCAGGGCGCTTACTTTCGAGACTCTACGGTATTTCTCCCAAAAATGTTGGCGCGGGGGGGGTCCAAAAAATATTTTCCGGACATTCAAAAAAAGGGGCGAAAACATTTTTCCGGACATAAACCAATTAAATGAAGGGTCAAAAAATTTTTTCGCACAAATTCCTGTTAAAACATGCATGAAACCCTTATTTTTTTTACCAATATCTGTAAAATTTATGTCGTCTATAAATTTTATTCAATTCCCTCTGGAAGCCCTGGAAGCTACTTAATAACTCTACATTCTATCATTTAAAATATTTCATTGCCCTGCCAATCCAAATGATTTGCCCTGCCAAACCAGATGATTTGTACTTTGGGGGGTGTCACACCCAGTGGTCACACCCCCGGCCACAAGTTTCGCCCCTGTTCATAATTATATGATTTCGAAAAGACCATGTGTTTCCTATAAGCATACAGTACCTTAATAACACGGAAGCGGGATGATCAGAATATACAGACTAGGTATTTGGAACTTCAAGAGGTTGCTAGAAGCACTGGGATGAGATTTGTGACGTACTGATTGAAATGCTGTAGTTTTAATACCTTTATTAAGGTTTTGAAGACAGTTTATAATGATCAATATTTTCGTGTGAGTCGTTTACATGCGAACTCCATGCGCATGCAAGTAATAGTTGAATGAAAACAATTTTTGCGGGAAAAATCGCTTAGCAATAAAGATCTAACGTGCAATTTATTCAGAAAACAGGACTATATACATTTTCGAAGTCATGTAGGCGCTAGATATCCTAAATCATACTGTACAGGCGTCAGGCATTCGGCAAATTATTGAATCCCAGTCAGGAAATTGTTTTCGTAGTCGGCAAAACCTGAATTGGACAGGGAAGAAAAAAACTAAAATATATGAGTTACACTGATTAAAAATAGTATTTATAGCAAAATTTACGAAAAAATAAAGGAAAAATTAATGAATGACGGTACGTTAACCAGAAAGAAATATATGTCCGGAAAACATTTCCCCCCGGCTCGCCAACAATTTTAGGAAAATAAATATTAATTAGTGGTTGAGATGAGTCGGCAAAATTGCACTAACACCTCTCCATTAAAACAGGGCTACAGTAGCGACGCTTCTATTAGGCGCTGATCCAGGGGCGTAGGAACCGGGGGGGGCAGGCCCCCCAAGTTTTGCCAAGTGCCCTTTTTTTGCGTGAAAAATTTTCATTAAGATTGCATTTTGTGCCCAAAGGGCACTTTTGAAAACTTTCCGGAAAAATTGTTTCATTTCCAAGAAAAATATGATATATCCGGAAAATTTTTTGGTATGTCCGGAAAATTTTTTTTCGTATTTAGGAAAAAATGTCGTATACATATATTTGAGATGACCTTCCCGCCCCCCGCCGCCAACATTTCCGGGAAAAATTTTTGGATGCCCTTTTTTTTCAAAAAGTGCCCCTCAAAGCCCCCAACTTTTAGACGCTTCCTACGCCCCTGCGCTGATCATAATAGTAACTGTAACTTAACTATGCCTTTTTTAGAGTAATATTACCTGCAAGGGTATCTTGCTAATTTTGTGATGGATTGTGCATGGAAAATGTTGTTTAAGACAGTCTCATCTGCATATATATGCATTATTGTTATATAGCAAATGTCAAAGTTCAATTCTCCTGTTTGCCGATTGGTCAAAACCGTATCACGTGCCGGTCCACAAAACGTCATGTTCACTGCTTGCTTTGATGAGTGGGCAACTGGTCAACAATGAAACAATTGTTGACCGGTCAACAATAGAAGGGGTGCAGTGCGCATGCGTCTCAACCGTGAAGTTCCAAAGTTCATTTTATTAAAGTTTTTTTATAAATTAAACATTTACAGCATTCCATTTATCTAGTTTTGGTTTCAAAGTTCACTCCAATAACCGGTGAATTATTTCATGATACTTTGACATTTATATATTATATAACAAAACACTTATTTACTAAGACCTCGGGCAACAACGGCGTTCGAGCCTCGAGGGGACACAAAACACACTCATAAATAAGTAATAATTATTTGAGACATAAAGGAAGAGACTTTGATATAGGAAGGCCTGTTTTCCACTAGGCGAATTTATTTCCTTTGACGGCATTGCCTTTGCTGACGTGATAAACGTACTTAAACCGGACTTAAACACGTAAGGGGTAACACGCGCACATAATATTCCGTTGTCCCCTTGGTTCATCTCGCATAATTAGATGGACATGAATATCCAAATGATTAATTTACAATCACTTTTAATGGACTGGTAACCAGATTCAAAATAATAAAATATTTAGAAAGCTTAATTAAGATTGCGGAAAATTCTCGTGTTAAAATGAATAACGAATTTCAGGCCCGCCATTATTTAATTCGTTGTGTGCGAAAACAACAATACCAGAAGCAACCAAGCAACCTGGGTACGACCATCTATAGAGTTCACTGGGTTGTACCAGAAGGAAGAACCAACATTCAGTACTACAATTCTTTGAACTTTAAAACATTTTCTAACGCACGAAATTAGCAATGCCGCCAATGCGATTGTGTGCAGTATATCAATATTTCTATTAATATTTAATATTATCTTATTCAGCTCCTACGTCGACAGAGTGCACAGGAAACAACTGGCAGAAAGGACCAGGAAAACTTTGCTTTCAAATCAACAGCGTTCCCAAAACATGGACAGGTATAAACGTTTACATATATTGTTGATGTATAATGTAACATCTGTTGCCAATATCGTGTGGAAAAATTAACGCTTATTGACTGGTACCGAGGGAAACAGTATGTTTTCTGGACGCGAGGATACAAGTATTTTATTATATACCAAGTTTCAAATAACCAAAAAGAAACCGAAAACTTCTATAATTTTTGCTCTATAACTCGACGATTTTATTATTCACCTGGAAATAAAAGTAATGTCCACCGTTCAGAGCTGTTGCCAAACTGTTGAATTTCGTGACTGTCGTCACGAGACACGCTCTTGTCCAATGAGGTGCAAGGAAACATGAACTTTGCCACTTGGTATAACGATACCTTTTGTCTGCTCTAAATGTTACAATACTAAAATATATCTCACTTCAACGAAGAAATTTATTTCTTTCGCTGCATAAGAAGAATACTTTTATGCTTACTGCAACATGGTATATCACAGGAATAATATATCGTTATTTCGAACATGATCCAACACTGTGGCGCAATTTACTAACCTACTTTAAAGCCTAGTAGGTAATTGTTCTCCTCCTGGCGGATTATTTCTTTGAAAACTTCAGTTTTTCAACATCGGCTCCAGCTATTTTACAGCTCAAATCTCCGGCTCCAGCTGCGTTGGTTCACAACACAGAGGATGAAGTCTATAACCGGATAATGGCGGATATTATGCAGCTATCAAAGCATGACGCTTGCGATGCGCAACTTCTCTAGTCATAGATATAGATAGATCACAGACATGTAAAGACTTATTGCAATTTGGCTGCTTGCAGTAGACCGCAACAGATATGATGACTTCAGATTATAAGTATACTTCAACAAATTCAATGTCGCCATTATTTGCAAACAACGCTATAATTCTAAGTTACGAAATTGTCACATTTCTTATTCTGACTTTCCAACTGGAGCTGGGAGAAAACACTGCAACTCCGGCCAGCTGACCAAAAAACGCCTTAATTTGCTCTGGCAGAACTCCGGCCTCCGATACTCTGGCGCACAGCACTTTGGCGGATGTGACTGAATGCGTGACATGCAAAATATTTAGAAATGTATACTTCCGAAAAGCAATTCCATACTTTTGGCTGCGAGTTCACTCATTCGCATCTGTCAGGTAGAGAACATCGGCGACAAAATCGCTAGTGTAAACAAGGCTGCCATAGGATGCATGCTATCGAGAATAGCGCATTGTTTATAACCTAAAATAGACAATTCATTCATGACAGGGGCGGCGGAACGGATTTCAGTTTGGGGGGGCTAATTTTTTTTTCTGTGACCCCCCCTCGCCAAAAAAATTTCGGTCAGTGTACCATTTCAGGGGTTGAAAAATTTTTACGGACATATACAAGAAAAGGGCTGAAAAAATTTTCCGGACACACTCGATTTTTAAACAAAATATCCCAAATTTTTCCCATTATACCCAAATTTTCCAAAAATAACCTACATTTTTCCTTAATTATCAAAATTTTTCCAGAGAAAACAAAATTTTCTCGGGGGGGGGGGCTTAGCCCCCCCACTTTTACTTCTGGGGGGGCTTTAGCCCCCCTAGCCCCCCCTGTTCCGCCGCCACTGATTCATGAGGATATTCACCAACTATATTGTCACACCACTATATGTTTATTATCGAAACTTCCATTATTGGAGGCTTAGCCCCCCCACTTTTACTTCTGGGGGGGCTTTAGCCCCCCTAGCCCCCCCTGTTCCGCCGCCACTGATTCATGAGGATATTCACCAACTATATTGTCACACCACTATATGTTTATCACTTTGTTAAGTAATACTTGGAATCATTTCAATCCTCCAATTTAGTGACAAATTACAAGCTAGGTTCTCTCAATTTCATTTTAGATGCGCGCTCCACGTGTTTGGATCGAGGAGGGGATTTACTGACAATCACAACGGAGGAAGAAAAGAAGGCAATAGCGGCAAAAATTAAGTACTCGTCAAGTATTTATTACTGGATTTCCCTAAATGATCGAGATTATCGAAACTTCCATTATTGGAGTAACAATGACGCAGATGGAGTGATCAACTGGGGATCTGGAGCTCCTGATAAGAGTGGCTATACTAGTATGAAAAATATTTTGTTTTGTCGATTCACTGATTAGCCCAAATGAGAGGCAAAATATGGCAACGATTAGGAAAATTTATGGAATGGACTATTATTTCGCTGGCAACAAAAGTAACAAAAACAATTATAATATCAATAACAGAACATTGTGTTGACATGAGTGACGATGACACCAGCGACAGCGAAGACAAGGACCGTTACGACTACCTATACTCTTTAATAGACTGCTTTAGCAAACATCACATGACGTCGACGAGAACGTGAAAATGACGTGCATGTGGGATTTTACTTCGGTTTAATCTAGGACGTCGTTTACGTTGCGTTTAGGACGGCATTTAGGGTTTTTTCCACGTCCTCCTGAGAACGTCACAAATTTATGCATGGTTTGAAAAAAAAAGGACAGTATGCACCACAAAAACTATCCTATTTTGTTCCCCATATTTTCTTCTATATTTGTAGCTGAATTTTGTTTTGATTGATAAGTTTGTGTTCTTATATTTCGCCGAATTTTGGATGCGTTGATTTTTGGCAAGTACATTTAACGCAACAAGAAAACAACAGGACTGCAAACATTGTTGACCACTTCGATACTGCCTCTATTTCTGACCGAAAGACACAGTTTGTGTTCTTATATTTCGCCGAATTTTGGATGCGTTGATTCTTGGCAAGTACATTTAACGCCATAACAAAACAACAGGACTGCAACTACTACTACTACTACTACTACTACTACTACTACTACTACTACTACTACTACTACTACTACTACTACTACTACTACTACTACTAACACTAACACCGCGGAGAAACGTCTGCGCATGCACCAAATTATGAAAATATGGCGGGGAATTTGAATATCAATTTCTAAAACAAAAACATGCTTATATAATTCATGTAAAAAATTGTTGATTTTAACGGACACGACTTCGAAAATTTTTGCAAAATTATTCAAAACAAAAATTCAAACTCAAAAGTTAAGAAAACTCTCGAAAAGTTAAGCTTCCTAACCCACTCAAATTGCAGAATTAAAGTTTAAAAGTTAAAAAGTTTAAATAAAGTTTAAATTATTGTGAACACGAAAATTTTTTATATTTGGCGACACAGTTTTTTTTAAAGAAATGTATCTCAAACGAAAATTTGGAAATTGTCGTTGCTTAGTTGATAAACAAAATGTTTCAGAGAATAAATTTGTCAACAATCACCTTTAGTTCATGTTCTTGTACAATACAATTTCTTGAACCTTCTGGCTGTATTTATTCCTAGTTTTTAGAATGACATGTTCATTTTTGCGCTCGAAATCTGGCTGTAAAGAGGCACAATGAAGTCACTCCTTTTTACCGCCATTTTGAGCCTTCGGAAACGTTCGGAACAGCTTCTCATCAAGTTCGCAATACTATTACAGGTAAGGTTGACGCATGCGCAGACGTTTTTCCGCGATAGTATACTACTATACTACTACTACTACTACTACTACTACTACTACTACTACTACTACTATACTACTATACTACTACTACTACTACTACTACTACTATACTACACTACTACTACTACTACTATACTACTACTACTACTACTACTACTACTACTACTATACTACTACTACTATACTACTACTACTACTACTACTACTACTACTACTACTACTACTATACTACTACTACTACTACTACTACTACTACTACTATACTACTACTACTACTACTACTACTACTACTACTACTACTACTACTACTACTACTACTACTACTACTACTACTACTACTACTACTACTACTACTACTACTACTACTACTACTACTACGACGACGACGATGTCGTCGATTGCCAAAAAAGGAAAACGATTCTCGACCGTTAATATTGGCCGTTTACTATGGAGTCCCAAACAACAGTGCAAAAATTTGTTGCATTGTCCGCATTGACCTCACCTCACCTGAACTATTTTGTTAAGCGGAACTACTACAGGCAGTTTGCTTTGCCCACAAGGCGTTTTTTTAAGAGTTCTTTAGTTGGGAATGGGGCATCAAGGAAATGACATCTAAATACAGGGTTGAAACATTTCATTCTATGAATCATTCATAAAACACTCTTGAAACAAGTCTTTCCTTTTCTTGTCAGTATTCTACACAAGAGCAACCTTAACGGGGTAAATTTGTTTACTCGAAAAGCCAACATAAGTTCTGGGCCTTGCTCTCCCAGCCTATGTGTTAAAAAGGCCCTATTTACCCAGCTCATTTATATAGCTCCACAAAATGGTAATTTTCTTATACAGAATATTGCTCCGTTGAGCTGGGAAATGACCAGCAACGTTTACTTTTAATATAGATACAAAAGGCTGTGTTAAGATGAAGCGAAGCGGGTCTTGGATAGATTCCGAATGCTCCAATCGTTTTGGGTTTATCTGCATGAAAGGAGGTAATTTGAAAATTTTTGTTGAATTTGAAGAGTTCGGTGATTGGATACCAAAAATTTTAAATAGAAGGAAAAGAAGGATTTTAATTAAAACCTATATGAACTGCTGTTCCTCATTTCTCCATTACCGTCAATTTAAACTTGACAGACAACAACGCGTGTAAGAGTAGTCGCGACTTAATAAATTGAACGTGAATCTCGAAATATTAAAATATAATATTTTAGTTTGGTTAATTTTTAAATTTTTCAATAGTCTAGAACAAACAAACAAAAAAATAAATAAATAAATAACTTTTTTATGGAATAATAGTTTTCGAGACTCGAAAGTATTTCAGTCATAATAGTAAGATTTTTTTGATTTCCAGGAAAACCAGCTACCTTTTTGAAAAATGACGCTTTATATGTACTAGATAAAACATGAGCAGCCGATCTGTATCTGATATACAAACTCGAGCCGAAGGCGAGAGTTTGTATATCAGATACAGATCGGATGCGATCGTACTTAAAAAATCGGATCGTACTTAAAAAATGATCCATCTTATGAGTTCATTGGCGAAGTAATTTTAAAAATAAACATTGTCTAAGACGAGAAAATCAAAGCTGAAGTTTATGTATATCAGGACAAATCTTTATCCGATTTACAAACATGGATTAAACAATCATTTCTTTTGTATTTTCCTCGTGTGATATTAATGAATTTTTTAACTATATATACTGTTGTATTTAAATCTATACATTATCAGAAATCAATTTTGATTGATAATATATGTAAGAACTAAGAAGTATTTGTATAAATGGAGTATATGTTGTAGACTACATTCTAGTAGCCTTATTCGAACGCGAAATCTAGACAAGTAATCACTTTTTACAATTTTTAACGGATCTTCCAAATATAAAGAAGAAAATTTGTGCCGTGCGTATCATTCATTTTTATCATTTTTATTTATTAGTTTACGGATTTGACCATAGGCTGCCCAAAAGTGCGTGTTGAAATTTTTACCCTCGCGCGTGGCGCTCGGGCATGCATCGAGTCTACACAGTTTATTATTATGACATAATAATAATAATAATAAAGTCATAGTAATAAACTGTGTAGACTCGATGCATGCCCGAGCGCCACGCGCGAGGGTAAAAATTTCAACACGCACTTTTGGGCAGCCTATGATTTGACTTAAAAAAAAACCCAGGTCAGTAGGTCGGAAAAAATAGTTTTAAAAACACACTGAGAGAGAACAAAATTTAATAATCTCTTTTCATTTCTTATCCTTAACTCAAAAAACGAAAGAAAAACATAGCTAATCTCCATATTGATTGTCACTACGATAACATGAGCCAGCAGTACTTAAAGTCAAAGTTTACTTGGCCTGTACTTCATGTTAGAACCCCAATTTAACTAAAATTAACTAAAGTTGTAAAAGTGTTGACATCCAAATTTTTTTATTTTTTTACTTTCTGAATATTTACGGTCGGCGGATCCGTAAGCCAATGAATAAAAAAAGTCTCGCCTGGCTGTATGAATGATTTTTTACTTTTTTTATGTAGAGCATTATACTGAAACAAATTTTGTCCACGCTGGTCCAACTGGAGGTATGTATATATTGCGTAGTATTATCTATACTCTCAGAAAGCTGGATATATAATAATATGTTAATGAAGGATTTTTTGAAGATGTAAATTGCGAAGTTTATAATTGCTGCGTTGCGTGAATTTGTAGGAGACTAGTGTTTATATGGAAGCCGTGCTGGCCCGCTTAGCGAGGAGTAATCTCCGAAATACCCTTCAGCATTTAGTTATATCGAGTTAGATCCCCCAAAATCCTGATATTCACTCGCATACCTTACGCTGGCACTAGACACTGGCACTAGTGGTGTCAGAACAGGTTTTATTTTAGGGGAGCTATAATTTTCCCCTAAGTTGGGTACCGTAATTTTCAATTAAGCCAGTGCAAGCACGCAAAACATGATCCAACTGTCACAGCAGTAGCGTAGGCCTCAGCGTATAAGAAGATGTTTAAAGTTAAGGAGGCCAGTGGCATACTTCTCCAGAAAAATTGATGCTCGGAGGGGCCATTTTTGGCAATTTCTGGCACCGAATTGAAGAATTTAGATGGCAAGAACATACACTGTCACTCCGTCACTGTAAAAAAATGCTTCATAATTGTTGTTTTTTTCAGTTTGGATATCTATAGTGGGAGCTAAAATCACCAGCAAATTTGCATATTTAATAATTTAATATTCACGCTTTCTAAACAAATACTTTCTAAATACGATTTAATTCATTTTGGGGGGGGGGGGTTATAGAAGGCTGTTCATACGCCCCTGACCGACATTTCTATTGTTCTCAATAGGGTTTTATTTCGGTAAGAATAAAAGCAAGGGGAAAATCCTGATGGTTGGTTATTTGGCTGCTCTAACTCTCCTTCCCCAAACAGAATATCGTGAAAGAAATCTATACATTTTCATCTGATTCCGATTGCTTGAAAACATTTTGCGTTACATAGCCATACTAATAGTTCGTCGCTACATAGCCATACTAATAGGAGTTCATAATTTAAACTCATTCACGGCTTGATTTGGCATGATATAATAATTATACAATGCTTTCATAAAATGGTTTGAATCTCAGTTTTATATAAACCCATGGTAACAAACTCTATTGTTTTCAAATATGTATTACTATATTGTTAAGTTTAATATAGGTTCTTTCTATAATATAAACGTGGAATAACAATAACATGGCGTCCATGAAAAGGCGCGAAAACTGTCAATACTTCATGTTATGAGTGTATAATGTTTGTCTACTTATTTTGTCTTAGGGACGGACATTAGATTTGAGAGGGGGGGTTGGGCAATTTTTTTGTGCATGAATTTTTTTTCATCCCTCATCTGTTGGCAAGATTTTTTTCTATAACATTCCTTTGCACGATATTTTTTAAAGATACCCTAAAAAATTTTTCCCGGAAAGTTCGTCGCCGGGGGGGGGGGACAAACATTTTCCGATTGTCGTAAAAGACCATTTTAGTGTTTTAATGTTTTAAATCAATTGTATTACGATTTTAAAATTCAGTTCTTGCTCGATTTTTTTTCAATAGGTTTGTTGTGCTGGATGTTTTTCCTGGATGTTTTGAAAACGTTTTCTGTGCTCGAATTTTTTTTTGGTATTTGCCTACCCCCCCCCTACCCCCTCAAATATCTAATGGTCCGTCCCTTAGTTCAATATATTTTATCTTAATTGTTGTTGGTGAACGAGTGAATAGAAAACAAAAGAATTGATGCATATCAAATGCAAAAGCCCAGGGTTTGCTTTTATTACAATCATGGTAATTCAAACTAATTTTAAAAACGATACATATTATAAAGTAAATTTCATGGTGTGTCAGTCCTTACAAATTTTAACTAAGTGAGTTCATTACCTTGAACGTTAGTTTCATAGCAAGATACATTCCTCGGAAGCGTGACCCTCACCTAAGGTTTCCTCGGGGCACGCCCCTCGGGTTGTATTGCGCTGAGAAACCTTGTTCTCGGTAATTAACTGTTATGTATACCTAAAAATTAGTAATAACATAGCTAATATGTCTAAGGGAGGTGAGAAAACTTATTCTTAACTAAAAATGAATTTTAATGTTAAATATAAAACAACGCAAAAACGCTCACCATTCAAAGGACACATTTTGGTATAATTTTATAGTAACTGATTTATTAAGAATAGAACCTTTGCAACAAATTAAATGTTGGAGGGGGGTCCTAAATTTTCTAGATGAAGGTGGGGGCATCTTGAAAGACTAAGTAAAGGTCTTTCGATTGGGGGCGGCTCTAAAAATGTTCAATATTTGGTATTTTTCACACACACCCCCCCCCCTTCCCGTTATTAATGACCGGTCCCTAACTACTGTATATAATCTTGAGTATCTTGAACGGTCTGTGCCAGTGCATAGGTAGTGCATGTCACGTGAAAAATACAAGGAGAACGTCGATGTTTCGAGCGAAGGCCCTTCGTCGGGAAGTTTATATGGTAGCCTTCCGACGAAAATTAACTAATTTGCCGACGAATAAGGGCCTTCATTCGAAACGTTGAAGTTCTACTTCAATATATCCATAGTCTTTCAAAACATGGTTTGGAAACTCCGCTAAAGTCTTTGTTCTATCTTTTTGTTCGCGTTTATGCAGTTTTGTGCACGCGGTGCACGGTCAATGAACGCATTGTATTTCAGTATAATGAACGAATCATCCAATAGCAACGTTTCAGTTCAGTCATTCAACCATGCTATTTAAATATTAATAAACCTAAAACAAAGGATGTGCACGGTGCAAGGTACGGCTCAACATAAAATCCTAGCTCATTATAACCGCTTTGAAGTTTACCGAGTTTCCAGACCATGTCTCGAAAGACTATGATATATCCGATTAACCAATGTATACCTTTTTAGTATGGATGAGCAGTGCAAAATACTACTGGCCCTTGTCTTCCATTGACAACAACACTGTTCTTGGTACAAAGATTGGTACAATAAATGGTAAAGTAACACCAACATCAGGAGTGAGAGGAACGCCAAACACAGCGCTACAATTTTCTAGTGAGGGTTCATATATCGACGTTGGGAAGTTTGAGAAAGAATGTTTTGGAAATCCTGATTATTGCTTTGGCTTAAGTTTGTCATTTATGGCTTGGTTTGATAAGACTGCAATTAGTTCGTCCAAACGAGTATATATCCTGGATTCAGTGGAAGATGAAACTAAATATAAGGGAATGAGTGTTTTTATTCAAAGTAATAACCTCTGGTTTGTGGTATCTAAGACAGCCAGATATGTGAATACATTTGTGCCAATAGTCGATAACGAATGGCGTCATTACGTGATGAGGTACAACGATTCTGCTAGCATCAGTGTTTCCGTAAATGGTCAAGATATTCCAGCAAAACCAAGGTAATCATTTCAGATCTTTTTCTCAAACCAATGATCCTAAATACTAGGAAAAAAATGTGAAATCCATACTATGAAATTTGCAATTGCACCACTATGAAATCCATAGTATATGAAATCCATATAGTATATTACTAAGCCGAGTAAATTAATAACTTTTCGGCTAACGTATTGTATGAAAAAAAAATTTATTTCTTATAGATCTGTTTAGTATATAAAAACATATGATATACAGTTAATTAAAAGGTTGTCCTTTCCGAGTCAAAACTGGAAAGCACAATGAAGATGCACACGTTGATGAAGATGCACACATGATGCACATCATATTTCCGATACTTTGCAGTTACGGTTGCCATGCTGCTCACCCCAAAATGAATTGGAACCGAAGCTAGAGTGGTTGTACAACTTGCCACCGCAATTTCTCAAACTCAAATTTTGTAAACCAGGGGGGGGTGTCTTTTCCAACAAACTAAAAATGGCTTGCGCACAAGATTTAAAAGCTTGAATCGTATTTTGAGTTAAAAATGGATGAAAAATGTATTGGGTGATTAATTGCTGCACGACAATTTGCTTCAGTTTAAGCCCTTTAACTATTCAGCAAACTTACATTTTCCCCTAAAAATCAGCCTTTTGCATGCTTAATTAATGCCTTTGCCTAATTTGCATATGTCAGCAATATGCAAATTAGGTAAAAGCATTAATTAATTAAGCACTAAAGCAAAATTGTCTGAAATTTTGTCAGCAGTTAAAAACCTACACATTTTCCACCCATTAACCCAAAATACGATTAAGGCTTTTAAATTTCGTGCCCAAGCCATTTTTAGTTTGTTGGAGAAGATACACTCCCCTGGTTTACACAATTTGAGTATGAGTATTTTTTTATTATTCTACATTATTCATTATTCTACATTATTCTATATGTAACAAAAACTTGATACCACGACTCCACGAGCTGTTTTGCGAAATTGAGAGCGATTTCAAATCTGTTGTTCCAGCACGATTTTCGGTTCTGAAACGGGCCCGATTCGCAGGCAAACAGTGCACGCAAAGCAGGCTGGTCATTTCCCATTGTTTAAATGCCCCACACTCAAGTAACCACAAAGAGTAAAAAATGCGCTGCTTAAATGTTTACGGTCGGAAACGTGGGTGTGGGCAAAAATAAACAATTTGTCTTAATTATAACAATAAATCGACACAACAACAAATAATTGTATTTCTTCAGTGAAAATACTGCATGACAATCTCAACTAGTGACTGTAAGCAATGTTTTCCACCATTATGGACCGCTGGATAATTTGTGTGTAATTTATATAAATTATATACAAATTGTATACCACACCGACCGAAAACGAGTCGCTTTTTTCTTAAGAAAATAAGAACCTATGTTTAAGAAACTTGGAAAAATCTAGATTCTTATTTCAGTCTTTATTTTAGAACACCGCATGGTCCAAGCAATGACAAATCAATAAAGAGTTTTAAAATTGGGCTTCACCAAGGCTCCGGTGCTAAATCTGGTCTAGTGAAACTAGCCATGGTTGCTTTCTGGGATAAGATGTTATCGAATTACGATATTTCTTCAATTTACAAAGCAGGTGAGTACTGTTTATTTGATCAACCGAATTGATCAATTTCATCAGTTTTTCGCAATTACTCACCCGTAGCTAGCAAACATTAATTGCCATGAATGCACGGAACTGGCGCTTTCTCGCGTTTCAAGCTTCGTCACGACTATTGCCAATATATTAGCCTACTGGTAATGGCCGTCGAGTGATTTAGTTCTTTTCTTCATTTGCTCTATTTAGAGTTTGGATCTTGCCAATCTAGTTGGATGGAATATGGAATGTCATGCTACCAGATAAACAAGGACACAAAATCACATACTTATGCAGCCAGCGCGTGCCAGCTCTCGGGAGGAGATCTTATTAATATCGATACCAATGTTGAGCAAGCATTTATTTCAACTAAAAACAAAGCTCAGCCATGGATTGGTAAGTATTTTGAAATTTGAAAAGCTACTGTACCTCGTTGTTGTAATTAATTAATAACTAAAGAGAATTTCTTGAAAAATAGCAGAGGAGCAGCGTACTGGAACAACATCCCAATAAACTTGTTGAAAATCTTGGCTTATAGACGACATTTATTTCTAAAATTACTTCGCCAATGAACTCTTTAGATGGGTCGTTCTTTAAAACACTCGCAGTCCGTGCTTTATCAGATATAGAACACTCGAACACACCCAAAATGAATTGTCTCCTTTTTGTCACAACACTTTCTAATATAATTTAATTGATCTTATGTTGAATAATCAAACTTGAGAATCATACCTGATAATAGGTAATTTTAAGACATATACAATTTAATTAAACTACTCTGCTATTATTTTAATATTTTTAATATTTTAATATCATATATCTACAAAACCAAAAACTGAAGTAGCGATTATATATATATATACAGGGTGTATCAAAAAAAGTATTTTGAAATTGCTCTCAATTCCACAATTCTGTTCATGAAATGTATTTTTTTATATGTATGGATTGCTTGAGTTCTTAAATTATGGAAAATATAAAAAAGTTGAAAATATTAAATTTTGCTATCCAGGGGGGTGGTCAACTTTTGCTCTCCTAAAAGTGGCTTGCGCACGGAAATGACAAACGGTATTCTTTACTTGAGTTCATGTATGAAAAGTTCGCTATTTGTTGCATTTATGATAAAATTTCGGCAGGATTTTACCGAGTACAAATCCTCCGAAAAGCCTATGAAAACGTTACATTTTTCTCTGTTGGTGCTGTTCTTGCTTCATTATGAATTCATTTTTACTCCCATGAGACGTTCTGTGGAATTTCCATGGAATTTGTGCTTTCGAGTTGTTTGTGCTGAAACGCATTCTCTCGTATAATACCCCGTACACTTTGAAATGGCGATGCCACAATTTACCCCGCAGCAGAGAGCTTTTATGCATGGTGCAGAGTTCCTCCGTAGCAACAACATAAACTTGGTTCGCCAAAGTTTCACGAACGAATATCCAGATGTACGATGCCCTTCACGTATTCGCACGTGAAGGCATCGTACATCTGGCATAATTCAAGATCAGTAAACTCAATGTTTTTAACAATAAAAATGTTTTAAAATGTTAAAAACATTAAGTTTGCTGATCTTGAATTATGCTTAATTGATTTTCCTAGTTAGTTTTTTTTTCAATTAAAAGGCCTGAAATGCGCCTTAAAAACCATCATTCAAAAGGCTGAACTGTGCCTTTAATGGTTGGATCAACAAACGTTTTACTACGAAAAACGTTTCTCTTGTGACCGGTCCCTAATGAAAAGAAAAATTGGTGAGAAAAAACGCAAAGTTGATCGCAAATTGACCATAAATTTGCGTAATAGACTAAATTTTGATCTCAACAAAAATTTCATTACAGCTTGAAAGAGCATCACAAAATTAGTAATATTCCAAAGTTTCGTTGCAAAATGTTGTAAAATGCGGAAAATATAGTCTTGCGAAATTTGCAATTTTCAGTCATTTTAGATTACAAACCGGAAATTGACAGTCTCGAAGGGTTTGGGGCATCAATTTCCCGTTTGTAATCTAAAATGACTGAAAATTGCAAATTTCGCAAGGCTATATTTTCCGCATTTTACGACATTTTGCAACGAAACTTTGGAATATTACTAATTTTGTGATGCTCCTTCAAGCTGTGATGAAATTTTTGTCTAGACTTGTTTAGTTCAAAATTTAGTCTATTACGCAAATGGTCAATTCACATCATGTATAACTACTGCATGTAGTTGAATTGCTTGTTATTTTGTTTATTACAGGTCATGGCAAAGAGCCTCATTCACGCCGCAAATTGTTACTTTTATAAGAATCACTGGAACGAAGAATAGTGTTAATGAGGTGAGCCTGACCATCAGTGATACCCACCTATTATTATATTATCGACCTCTTGCACTAAATGGACTCTGTAATATAGACAATTCCCATTATAGACTAATTTTAAAACTAGGCAAGGAGATGCAAATAAATCACCACAGCTAGAAAGAGCATACTAAAATGAGTAAAATTGTTGCGAAATGTTGTAAAATGCGGAAAATATAGCCTTGCAAATTGTGTATATTCTTTTCCATTGCGCGTGGAAATTGCTACAACTTTCGGCCAAAATGTGGTAAGGAATGTGGTAGGAATTTCCGCACGCAATACAAAAGTATACAAGATTTGCGAACTTTGCAAGGCTGTATTTTCCGCATTTTACAACATTTCGCAACCAAACTTTGCAATTTTACTCATTTTAGTATGCTCTTTCTAGCTGTGGTGATTTATTTGCATCTTCTTGTCTAGTTTTAAAATGAGTCTATAATGGCAATTGTCTATTATTAAATGGACTCTGTAAATAAAAAAATGGAAACTGTATAATTATTCTATAATGTTTTCCAGGTGTTCCACTGTGTTCATTTCGAGTGCCCGGCTACCTCTTTGACAAGCACAGCACCGTCGCACAATGCAAATGTTGGAAATGACAACAATGAGCAGAATAACACCATATCTGACTGAGTTGTTGAAGATGGTTCAAAAGTCCCAGCAGATCATTTTAAGAAATATAAGAAAAAAGCACTCCGAATAACAATAGCGAGCTTAAGGTGGCTTCCTACAGTTGTTTAAGGGGAGGGTCAACCCAAAAATTGATTGAAAAGTGAAAAAAAAATTTGTGTTAAAACAGAGGTTTAGACCTTTGTTTAGTTATTGCAGATTGATTTACGTGTATTTTCTAATTTTTTCCTGTGTTTTTGAGCAGTTTTTACCAACCGCATGTATATTTCCCTTTCGTTGCCATGGAAACTGAAGAGCATTTTTTTTTAATTTTGGCCGCTCCTTTGTTAAAAATCTACTGCTTTGTTCAAAATTGAGAGGAAACTACAAGTAAGGCCTGCTGGCTTTGTGTTCAGCGGTGTTCAACACAAAAATTGCATTATGGGACACGAAAGCACGCTTTCACGAGCACGCTCACTAATTCCAGTTGATTTCAGAAGAAATTTTCCTAGTTCAGTAAGCTTTTCAATGCGTAATTGTTGGTTAAGCATGGGACTGGTAACGAAATGACGTGATCATGTCGAGTTGAAATTTTACTAGTCATTTATTACAGTATACTCAATTTTCAAAAGATTCTATAAAACAGTTTTTGTGGAACAAATTTCATGTAATATCTCAAGATGTGTGAGAAGACGCGAAAGACTAATTACATTTACCGATGTCAATTCTTTCTCCTCAATTGACCATTTGCGTAATAGACTAAATTTTGAACTAAACAAGTCTAGACAAAAATTTCATCACAGCTTGAAGGAGCATCACAAAATTAGTAATATTCCAAAGTTTCGTTGCAAAATGTTGTAAAATGCGGAAAATATAGCCTTGCGAAATTTGAAATTTTCAGTCATTTTAGATTACAAACGGGAAATTGACAGCCCCAAACCCTTCGAGGCTGTCAATTTCCGGTTTGTAATCTAAAATGACTGAAAATTGCAAATTTCGCAAGGCTATATTTTCCTCATTTTACAACATTTTGCAACGAAACTTTGGAATATTACTAATTTTGTGATGCTCTTTCAAGCTGTAATGAAATTTTTGTTGTGATCAAAATTTAGTCTATTACGCAAATGGTTAATTAGAACGGGTTCAAGAAAGAGCATTAAGAGCAGTGTTTAATGATAAAGTGGCTGGTTATGAAGAGCTACTGAGTAGAGCTAATCTACCAAGCCTGCAAAATAGGAGATTGCAGGATATAGCAATCCTAGTGTACAAGGCAAAACACAATCTTTGCCCACAACATATATCAGACCTCTTCACTAGTAAAATACTCGTTTTAGTTTGAGAAAATCAGACATAAGTATTCCAAGATTCAACACTAGAACGTATGGGAAGCACTCGCTAAGATACCTCGGTGCTAAACTATGGAGTAAGTTAGATGCAGGGGTAAAAAGCAGTGCAACATTAGATATTTTTAAGTCAAAAATTAGAAAAATTAATATAGATTTTCTTATGACTGAAAACTGTCGCAATTGTGCACTATGCAGCAATTAGTAATTGGAAAGTATTGCATGTTCTAATATTTATATGTAGGTTATTCAAATCTTAGACTATGTATTTAACATATATAATAGTTGTATATCTGTAAATAGCTAAATAGTGTCCCCAATTAGTAGACTTATGTCGGCTATGTATTCTTGACACTTAAATAAAAGTTTATGTATGTATGTACTGTCCATGCATCTGAACTCTAAAGTTGCGGTCGAACAAAATTTACTATAATTTTGTTTTTAAATTATTGCATATATATGTTGCAGCTACTAATGGCCAAGATCCGCAGAACCACGATGAAGATGAGTACATGTCAGATGATGATCACTACATTTGTAAGTTGAATAATTATTCAGGAGCTTTATAATTTGACAGAAAACCTCGTAATTAAGGCAAAAAAATCCCAGTTTGTCAATCAGCTTAGCTAACGCCTGCATCTGTTTTTCTTGCTGCAGGGAATTTTTTTATTTAATTTTTATTAATTATTTAGAATAAATAATAATTATTGCATGTTTTCATCACTTTTTCATCACAATTAAAGCATGCGACATCGAACATTCTATGCATCAAACAGTCTAGCTAGTTAAAATTAATACCTGATCAGTAACTTTTACTTTATTGATCAACCATTCTTGCAATAATGATTGTTATTTTATACCGTTTTACTAAATATTATGTTTAAGTGGTGTTTGTGACTTGTGAGAATCAAATCAGGTGATAGTATTGAACTGCCTTATAGCACAATTGTGCCGTATGTTTTGAGCATATTCTTCCGTCCAAGTAAATAAATTTTACCCGCGCCCACACCAACATTTTTTGCTGTCTTCTGATGTTAAACCTGGATTTTTTTACATGGCCTAAAATGAGTACTAGTAGCAGCCCCCAAATGTATCCCCAACCACAAGCCATGACCCTTTGTGACTGTTTAAGACTGCTTTTTCAGCCATTGTACAACATACATGATGGTGATACTTAGCCTTAGTTAAACAAATGTTCAAGAACAAACCAAAAATTATTTGATATTTGCGAAAACTCGGTTGTCCTTGAAAAAATACATAAATCGTCGACGCTTCACTATAATTTACTATAGAGGCCTACAAGAAGCGCAAAATAGTATGCAGTTGTATACGATAAATCGCTCTAGAACACCACACAATACACAAATGTCAGAATGCGAAATTTAGTTCAGTGGGTAGAAGTCCTGAACTCTTCAAATATGTTGACGAGATAAAACCGTACTTTATTTTGACTTGTCCTTTACCCGGTTTAAATACCGCTGAAATTTCGGGTATTGGACAATGCTAATGAAACCGAAGGTCAGACGAAAGCCGCGGGATATTGATAAACCTCCGGATCGTATATCACAAAATATTTCAATTACTCATGGCGTAACACTTGACACGCTGACAAAAGTGCGTGTGCCTCGCAGTCCGTATAATTATGTCGCATATTTCTGTCCATGTTTCAAAATTTTCTGGGGGTATACCCTGAACCCCCTAGGGAGCTCGTGTCTTCGATGCTTGAGTCGATATATACAGCCAAACTCCGAATATGATTTTGGTTTGTTTGATAATCTACTTCCTAATGAGCGTTGTTTCAAAATTGCTAATCTTAATATTAATAGACTTTTAAAACATATAGACGAATTACGAGTATGCATGACTAAACAACAACTAGATATTTTAGCAATCAATGAAACTAAAATGTATTCTGATGTACCCCTAGATTTAATTTCCCTGGAGGGCAATACCTGGGTTTTTAAGAAAAGGAATAGATCTGGTGGGAGTGTTGGTTTCTACATACGAAATACAATTAACTTTTTGATAAGACCTGACTTGGGTCATCATGATATTGAAGCTCTTACGATAGAAATTCATAAATATAAAACCAAACCTTTTCTAGTTTCAACGTGGTACAGACCACCTAATTCACCCATTGACTTGCTAACAAAATTCGAAAACATTCTATACGGCTTATTGATACGGAAGAGAAAGAGAGCATTATCCTGGGTGGTATAAATTGTGATCTATTACACAAAAATCTAGATCATATGACGAAAGAACTCAATTTCATTACTAGTATCCATAGTAAGCGAAATAAGAACTTATTAAAGAAAAAGGCCTTGAAATCTAAAAATGAAAATGATTAGCAAATCTTCAAATCAGCTAGAAATTCTTATAATAACTAATTAAGTCGTCCATTCGCCATCATTATAGTGTTGAGATTAGGGATAATCAAGGAAATACGAAGAACATGTGGAAAACTATTAATAACTTGATTCATAAATCAAAAAAATCTCAAAATATAACTGAGATCCGTAACGAGAATGGTGAAATGGTTAATATTCCAGGCATTCTAATGCATTTAATAATCATTTCACTGATCTTGGTTTCATTCTTTCCCAAAACATCTGAAGTTGCTCTATTCCACCAGAGAGTTATATCAGTGAATCAAATGCAGGAATTTATTTTCTGTGAAATAACTGAACAGGAAGTTTGCCAGTTATTATCATCATTATCATCTACTAAGGCATCGGGCCTAGATGGATTACCAGCAAGACTTATTAAACTGGCCTCACCTTATATTGCTAAATCGCTGACAACAATATTTAATAGGTCTATATTCACCGGCATATTTCCATGTGAGTGGAAAAATGCAAGAGTCACCCCAATTTACAAAAGTGGCCATAAATCTAATATGGATAATTATCGACCCATATCTATTATTTCGGTAATTGCCAAAAAAATGGAGAAACTCGTACATAACCAGGTCTATTCCTATTTACATGCAACGGGCAAATATACTAAGTAATAAACAAATTGGCTTTAGACCTCCCACTCCACTGTTACTGCATTGTTAAAAATGACAAACCATTGGTATCAAAATATGGATGAAGGGTTAATCAATGGAGTTGTCTTTTTAGATCTAAAAAAGGTATATTTGATACCGTTGACCATGGTATTTTATTTAAAAAAAATATTTATATGGAGTGAGAAGAAGGGCGCATGACTGGTTTAGGTCCTATCTGTCTAATCGTACCCAGTATTGTCAAGTTAATGGCAAACTGTCTGAACCACGAACAATAATTACTGGTATTCCGCAGGGCTCAATTCTTGGACCCTTACTCTTTCTTGTTTACATATATGACTTGCCAAATTGCTTAAAAAGTGCGGATTGTGACATGTTTGCTGATGATACTCAATTAGGAACGGCAAATAAGGATGTCAAAAGAATTTTTGAAACGTTAAATGATGACCTAGCAAATATTTCAGTTTGGATGGCGGCCAACAAGCTGAGCTTCAACAAAAGCAAAACTGAATATATGTTTATTGGATCACATCAAAAACTTAAACAGTGTAACTCCGAATTGCAAATAAAAATTGGAGATACGCCTATTCAACGAGTAACCGTTACTAAATCACTGGGTATGATGGTAGATGAGACCTCAACCTGGCATTCTCAAACAGATCTAATTACAAAGAAAGTGAACAAGGGTCTTTACGTCCTTAGACGATTAAGAGATTTTGTTGATGTAAGGACTCTAGTAACAGTTTACAAAACCATAATTCAACCACACTTTGATTACTGCTCGCAAGTATGGGGTTGTCTTGGAATTACCCTTCAAAACCAATTCCAACGTTTGCAAAATATAGCAGCACGTATCATTACAAAGCGTGGCTATGAATTTAGATCATCCGTATACTTAAAGAATTAGATTTACCTAATTTAAGTCTCAGAAGAAATAATCAGTTATGTACTACTATGTATCAGGTAAATAATAACGTGGTGCCTGATTACCTAATTGATTTATTCACGAAAACCAGTACACTTCATAATCATCAAACTAGGCAGGCTGAATTTAACATTGCACTCCCGAGGCCAAGTACCAACTTTTGTAAAAAATCATTCTCGTACAGAGGAGCTGTAGCTTGGAATGATTTATTACCTAATATAAAAAATATGGGTTCATTGTCAACCTTCAAAAAGGCTCTAGTGTCAAATAGTGGTAATAATTCTTGATAATTAATTTAAATTTTTTTTCTTTTTCTCTACGATTTTATTGTATTAACTTAATAAAATATTTTTATAATTGCATGTAATTATTCATACATATATAGCACGGCCTATTGGAAGATCACATCTTGTAAATATTTTAGTTTTTGTCTTTGTGAAATAGTACCGTGGGTAAATAAAGTTTGATTGATTGATTGATTGATTTGGAAGCCAATTCATTTGAATATTCTCCCGCCACCCCTTAAATAATTATAAAGAAACACTCTGCTGCTCGCTCATGCAGCACCCCCCTAGAAAAGCCTTGCTTGATGCACCCCTGGGCTCTCTAGTTCCTACATATTTAAAATAGTGAAAGATTTTCAGAATTGAATATGAATTTCGCGACACTTGGGAATGACCGATTGTACCACAAGCGGAAATTACCAATTACCGATTTTATTCATGCAAAAATCCACCCGATACACAATTTATAATGACGTCATAATGTCTGTCGACCGAGTAAAGGTCACGTCATTCATTTCGATTTTTGAACGATAATTTCCGAGGTAACATGTTAAGCTTCTTTTCCATTCATCGTAAAAACCAGCTCGCTCCAAGTACTTTCATCCAATGACAACGCTCGACAGTTTATTTTAATTAGATGCGAGCAAATACAATAATTGGTTTTACGGTGAGTGGAAAATAACAAGCTCCAAATGATTTTTGGAGTTAGGCTGGCGTGCCTGGCTACACATACTTTGGAGTTAGGCAGTAACTCGATCAAGGCTTAGATGCCTAGTTTTTCCATGATTTTTTGAGTTATACTTAGCTCCAAATGATTTTGGGAGTTTTGACAACTCCGAACTCGTGAATTATTGTTTTATATCAGTTAGATACTTTTTTTTTAAAAAGAGCTTAACATTTGATGACGTTGAATGGCCCCGTTCCTTGGTAATTACTATCTTTTGAGTTTTGTGATACAAACTCGAACGGTCTGTGAACGGTAGTGACGATAAAAAGAAAGCTGTGAACCGAGAGAGATTACAACTACCTGAAAAATACAACCAGAATTTCGACGTTTCGAGCGAAGGCCCTTCATTGGGAAGTTGGTGGCGACTAACTCCTCACTATTTTTTGTGTCTTTACCATTTCATTATATTTTTGCAAAATGTATGGGAGAGAGATTGAGATTGTTAAGCAAACCATGAAATCTTGACTTTCTTTTCCAGATCGTTGATGGTGGAAAAACAACCCATGTTATAGATTTGAAAGATCCTTCTCAAAGCAACTGGCTACGTTTCATCAACTGCGCACGGAGTGAAGAAGAACAAAACCTTGTCGCCTATCAATATCATGGTGATATTTTTTACCGTGTGTATAAAGAAATAGTACCAGATGGTGAACTACTGGTTTGGTACGGGGATGAATATGGAGAAGATCTTGGAATACCGATTCTGCCAAATCAGATTGACGAAGGTGAAAATGAGGAAGGAGAACAAATTGGTACACCATTTGTATCCAGTCAGGTGATGAAGATAGATGAAGGTGGAGAACAACTTGGTATACCAATTTTGCTGAATTATGTGAACGAAGATGAAAGTGGAGATCAACTTGGTAAAACGATTCTTCCAAATCAAGTGAACGAAGATGGAGATGGAGAGCTACTTGACATATCGACTCTGAATCGAGTTAACGAAGATGAACAATCGCTAGAAAGATATGTGTTTTTTAGAAGGTGGTCACACCTGTAAACATGGTGGACGAATCTGCTCTTATATGAATGACCTGGAAGTTCATTTGAAAAGATGTCCAATGTTGGTAACGTACGAATCCTGGGAATGTTGCCATTGCGGGAGAAAGTACAGTAGTGAGGATTATCGCAATGTACACGAGAAGGATTGCAGAAATCTTGAATCTTCAAAATGTCGCGTCAACATTAGTGTAAAAGTTAAACAATGTCACCATTGTGGTAAAATATTTACATGTCAAAGCGAATTGACGAGACACGAAAGAATACATACTGGAGAACAACCTTATCAATGCCAAAAATGTCGTAGAACATTTACACAAGAAAGTAACTTGAAGACGCACGAAAGAATACATAGCGGAGATCGTCCATATCAATGTCGACGTCGATTCGACAGTGTGATAAGACATTTACACGGCAAGATTCCTTAAAGATGCACGAAAGAATACATTGTGGACAACGTCCATATCAATGTCGACAGTGTGATAAGACATTTACACGGCCAGGTTCCTTGAAGACACACGAAATAATTCATAGTGGAGATCGTCCATATCAATGTCGACAGTGTGATAAGACATTTGCACACCAAGGTTCCTTTAAAACGCACGAAAGACTACATAGTGGAGAACGTCTATATCAATGTCGACAGTGTGACAAGACATTTACACACCAAGGTTTTTTGAAGACGCACGAAATAATACATAGTGGAGAACGTCCATATCAATGTCGACAGTGCGAAAAGAGTTTTACACAGCAAGGTCACTTGAAGACGCACGAAAGAATACATAGTGGAGATCGTCCATATCAATGCCGACAGTGCGATAAGACATTTGCACGGCAATATCGCTTGAAGACGCACGAAAGAATACATAGTAAGTAGGTAGGTAAGTAGGTAGGTAAAACTTTATTTAAACACGCTAACCACTTCAATACAAATTGATTTCCAAGGGGGGCGTGGTGAAAAAATTTAAAACACATAATAAACAACAAGACACGTATATCCAAAGTTAAATATTTACAAACTAGTAAATCGTGACAGGCTAGTTGCACATAAAAGCGAGTTAAAAATTCCTAGGCTTTCCGCGTTTCTAACTTCAATAGGTAAATCGTTCCACAATTTCACACCATTGAAACTTATACACTTTTTTAAATATTCCGTTTTAGGAAAAGGAAGATTGAGCTTCATGTCAGAATTACGTAAATTGTAGTCATGAGATCTGACAACTGAAGCACTAGAAAATATTTCAGTAAGCGCAGTTGGTGCAAAACCATGAATAATCTTATACATGAGTCTGGCTTTAGATTCAAATCGACGTTCCTTAAGTGTTTTCCACCCGAGCGCAGTCAAAGCAGCTTCTGAGCATCCGTGCTCATTTGGGTAACCCATAATTATTCTTGCTGCCCGATTTTGAAGAGTCTGCAGTTTATCAGATAAAACACGTGTGATAAGACATTTACGCGGCAAGGTTCCTTGAAGATGCACGAAAAAATGCATAATGGAGATCATCCATATCAATGTCGTCAATGTGATAAGTCATTTACACGGCAAGATTCCTTGAACACTCACGAAAGAATACATAGTGGAGAACGTCCATATCAATGTCGACAGTGCGAAAAGACATTTACACAGCAAGGTCACTTGAAGACGCACGAAAGAATACATAGTGGAGATCGTCCATATCAATGCCGACAGTGTGATAAGACATTTACACGGCGATATCGCTTGAAGACGCACGAAAGAATACATAGTGGCGAACGTCCATATCAATGTCGTCAGTGTGATAAGACATTTACATACCAAGGTTCCTTGAAGAGGCACGAAAGGAAACACAGTGATGATCGTCCATATCAATGTCACTCATCATTGTGATAAACCATTTACACAGCAAGGTAACTTGAAGAGACACGAAGGAACAGATATTTTGTGGAGAAAAGCTAGGGTTGTAGACATTGTAAGTAGACATTTACCCTGAAAATGGCAAATAAACTGAAGCCATTTGTTTCGGCTTTTAAGATTGCACGGGCTTTTATACAGGCCGCTCGGGTTCTACAGCGTGCAATAATACTTTTTGGAGCGACGCTCGATCCAAAAGTGTTATATAGGCCTAATAACGTTAAGAATTCAAGCGCTTTCATTGGTTGAGAGCCATGATCTATCAGAAGGTAGATCAGGCGCACAGAATTACGTCACAATTAAGGTAGCCAGTAGGAGTCCCTTATTTGTGTAGATCATGTACGCGTTTCAAATTTGCTAATGTTTGAGTGGATAAAAATTTACTTGCTTAATTCGGGTTTTTTATTATATGAAACAAATAGATACGGTTATGCCGTTGTCTTTTGACTCTTTTCAGTTATAGATACACAGTATGACATCATAACGAGGGAAGAAGAAAAAACTGACCCCACTCGCATCGGCGGCTCGCGAGCCACTTTTTCGTTCTTTCTAAAACATGTACAAACAATTTACAGAAAATGCAGGTACCGCTGGTAAAGTACCTGCAGTTTAAGTCAGGATTGCGCAAAAATGTCATTGGAGAAAATTTTTGGTAGTATACAGGGTGTCTAAAAAAAAACGCTACGGAAATTCAACAGGCTGTTGTGCATCACAAACTTAACAAAACAATTCAATTTTTACATGGGACGAAAGAGCTGTTATTTAGCTTTTCTATGATATATTTCTTAAACCGTAGCGATGGGAAATGGCCACATACTCGTCCAATAAAAATTTTCGGTCGAAATCACATTCTTCCACCGTTGGGAATTGAAAAGACATTAATTATGCAAGGATAATCAATCCAAAAGCAATGCGAGTCTGCTGCAAGGTACCAACCTCGTTCCCAGGCTCTTTGCCCTTGGGAAGCAAAGACCCTGGTCGGAGCTGCTCACGTGATCCATTGAAAATTGATAGCCCAAGAGGGGGGTGGAAAAGTCTCATATTACATGTTTCCACTTCCGCACTTCGATTGCAAGGAGTGGCCGTTCTGTACAATCATTAATTCATGATATTCATCTTCAAGAATCATATATACCTCAAACTACTTGCTAAATTGGTTTCTGTTTGCTTTTAAATTATACAAACATGCTAAAATGCAGATTCTTATGGCAACAGAAAATTCAGGAAACAAGCAACCAGAACAAATCAGCTGTACGCTTTGAAATATTTCTATTTTCTCAGGGTTCGCCGGTTCGGGCGTAGTTTTATTTCACGCATACGTTTCTGTTGTGGCTCTGATATTTATAATATGCTTATAATATGCCAATGAATTGTTCTGATATGGACATGGTATAAATTTTGTTAAACAGATGTCTCGAAAGCGACTGTTTATAGGTCGTAGGATTAGCGCCTTGCCGGTCTTAAACGTGACACATTTGGACACAAGCCAAATACACATTGTGAATGTCCATTCTATTGATTCTAAAACTGTTTATAGACATATTGCTCTAGATTTTTTTTTTAAATGGCTATCATCGTTTATATTAAACACCAGAAAGACAAAATATAACGTACAAAATTGTTTGAAATCGACAGTGCACAGCTGACATACGACTCGGCAATTCATAACTGCAAGAATTTCCTTTTTTGTCTGCATGCACGAGTACCTGTTTGTTGAAGCCAAAAAATTGCACAGCATCTCCTATAAATTCTATCGCCATTTACCCTGTCCCCTTAAATGCAAAGGAATGACAGCCGAAAAGGTTTAGCAAAGTATTTTTTATTATATCTGGTATAAAGTGTCCTACGTTTTATCAGGGACATACATAATTCATAAACTGTATATGCACACGAAGTCTCGCTTATATTAATGAGTTTTACTGTAGCAAACCTTTCAAAGTTTCCATTGATAGATAGGTTGTTTGCCTCCAGTATTGTTTGGTAAAACAGACTAAACTTCTAAAATGTCGATTCCAGTATACGATAAAGATTAAAGTTGATTTAAATATTGATAACTCACAGCGGCATTAATCCATTATACAAGTCTAAAGAAGCTGGATTATTCTTCAATAAAGCCCTCAATGGACAATGCCAATATCAATGAAAGGTCTAATATTATACATGTTGCAAATTACTGTATATACAAAATATGAAATAATTTATATAAAGTACAATACCAGTGTCTGGTGCATATATCGTCCTAGATATTCAAGTTGTACCGCACGCACGGAAACGCATGCACGGAGTCTTGGCGTTTGTGTGATAACAGATAGCTAGCTACACTTCGACATTATCTTTCTTGATCGTTGAGTTTCAGCAATGTAAATGAAATGAATTTTATAGCCAGTCCATAACGGGTTTTAATCCTGTGCTTTTACAGTCAGAATAGCACTATTGTTTACACATGTTGGCGATGTTGGGAAATCAAAGACAAAGGATCCCGTTATAAAATAAATCTTTTGTTTTGAATATCGGACAGGATACACTTCAACTATAAAGAACCATATCGTTCGTTTAATACCATTTGATCAATCAGTCTGTGTAGAAGATATGTATGTTTCTACGGCGATACGTGCTAAACTTCGCAGGCCAGGCGCGTGTGGAGTGTTTTCCTTGCAAGTGAAATATGATCCAGCTTCTCGCTTGAAATGTAACGCAACACTTATTATTGATGACATTCAGTATAGCAGGAAGTCTTGTCATGATCGGTACGAATTTAGAACAGTTCCTTTCACAATCTCTTGTTGCCAATTACATTTTTATCACCCGAAATTATAACACATAAAGTTGCAATTTTCCAAACGCAACAAACAGACTATTCTCCTACCCCTCCCTGAGATCAAATTCAATTTACCCCCAAAATCTGGGGGTTCACGTGACCAGCTCTGACCAGGGTCTTTGCTTCCCAAGAGCAAATAGCCTGGGAACGAGGTTGGCAAGGTACTTGTTTCGTAAAACGTTTTGATTACGAATGTTCTCTGTTCAGTGGTTAATTGAACCATGTTTAATGCAATAATGGACGTTCTTTGTATGGTCTCACTAAGACGAAGATTGATGAGTTGAGCTTATTTTAGATAATTTAACATTCAATTTTAATTCCCTCTTAGGAATTGTTTATGTTTCGTTTTCCATGCAATTCCCAACGGTGGAAGAATGTGATTTCGACCGCCAATTTTTATTTGACGAGTATGTGGCCATTTCTCATCGTTACGATTTAAAAAGAGTCTCATTCAAAAGCTAAATAACTGTTCTTTTGTTCTATGTAAAAATTGAATTATTTAGCCACATTTATGATGCACGACAGCCTGTTGAATTTCCATAGTGGTTTTTTGAGACACCCTGTATATAATATATAATGTATACCGCATATAACGATTTTTGAAACGGTTGGGGCCGGATTTGGGATGTGTAGATGTAATTGTTGTGGTTTTTTGAAATTTATATAATTTGTATTGTCTATATTGATATTCTATATAATTATACATTTGTATTATATATTAATATTTAAGCTAATAAATATTGCATATAATATTATTGTATTATATATTAATATTTAAGCTAATAAAGAATTACTGTATTCCTTTTAAGTTTTCTAATTTCTATTTCTTTGAGTCCTGTCCCATGAGTACAAGACCTAGTGTTCTTACCCAACCATTAATTTACAAAGCAATTAGAGCTGTCAAATTACTACAATACGTTATAGCTAATTTAAATTTGAAAGGGTTGAGTTTTTTTTTTACACGCTGTACGTAGTTTGTAGAAACAAAGCATACCATTAAAAGACGCATGCATGTGGGATTTGCAAAGGCGAACATATTCAAACAATCGACAATAATTTCTAAACAAGTAAACTACATGTAGAGGCATGAAAGCTAAAAGAATTAGGACGTAAAAATGCCACCTCGCCGTGTACGAAGAAACACATGATATTATTATAGGGTCGTGGTAAGGAACTGTGGGTGCAGGTTGCTGTCAAGCAATTAGCCAGTGCTGTGACAGTTTCAGTTTATTTGTAACTAGTTACAGTTATAGTTACATTACCAAAAACATAACTAGTTACCGATACAAGTTCCAAGTTACAGACGCCAAAGTGTAACTAGTTACAGTTACAAAGTTAAAATATATTTTTTGTAACTTAGTTACAAAGTTAGGTGGTTAGGGAGAAAACATTCTCGGACATACCATTTTTCACTAACTTACCGAAATTTGTACAATTTTCAGTAATATTTTCGTAAATTTATCTAAATTTATCCTACAATTGTCACTTTTCAAAAAATTATTTGTTAAATTACATTCAGTTTTTGCCCGAGGAGCGTGTCGTTAAAATTGCCCCAGGAGTTACGCCCCTCGACGTGGTGTCGTAATATTAATATAATATTAATATAGTAAGTTGCATACGACGCCCCGAAGATGTTTGCTATTCGGAAAATGAAGACGCAATAAATTACTGATAATACAATTCTATAATATTTTCACTGTTTAAAAACTAAAATTTCGTTATACTATTATTGCCCTAGTTTTCCGAATGGCCAACCCGATTTTCCTAATATGTTAATTCTAAAAAGGTGGGGGGGGGGCAGGTTAACCAACCCCAACCTCCCTCGCTACGGCTCCGAGCGAAAAACGAAATGAAATTAATGCCAATTGCATTTCATTAAAGAAATAAACTACAGCTAATTCAAAAAAGGCCGTGCATTGCAAACCTTGAACTCTAGACATTAAACCTTAAACTCTAAGCGTGCAAAGCATAATGGGAGCATCATTTAGTCAGATACAATCTCGTGCACAGAGCCCGAGTACGTCATCTTGCAAGTATATTGTGGATTTACTCGTGTTCCATTCGTGTTCACTGGTGTTCCATTCGTGTTCACTCGTGTTCCATTCGTGCTCACTCGTGTTCATTCGTGTTCACTCGTGTTCTGACTCGTGTGGAGTTTTAGATCAGATCCGATTTTACTGATCAAGGGGAGAGCGCTGGCGCTTAATGGGTTAAGTTGTCTATTACTGTTACAATCTAAATAAGTCGGACCTTTCGTTGTGGCGCTATTCGCAGATACATGTACGCCTGACGTACCTATTTTGTATTCATTGATGTGTGATTTAGTTTGACACCCAATCTGGAATTCAAATTTTGAAAAACAACCCTTGGAAAAAGGCCTGGAAATTTTAGAAGAAAGATCGAGAGGCCACAAATAACCAGTTTCCCCCTCTACAGCAATATTTATTTATTCCTAGCAATCACCAGAAATTTTGGGAACCTCTTCTAACATGCCAGAAATACCACTGTATATTTACGGTAGTAATAATAGCGAGGTTCGGATTTGATTTCCGCTACCACTACCTCTCACTGGCTTAATAGTACCGATTTGATTGGTTAATTGAATATATCAAGCGCATCTGATTGTTAATTGTCTCTTAATGGTAGTGGTAGCGGCAATTGAAATCAAATGTGAACCTCTCTCAGATTGGGCTTCATTTACCTACAGTAAACGTGTCATATTTGCACAAAACTATATAGAATAATACAAATAAAAAGAAATACTCAACAAATTTTGAGCGAAGATATTCAGGAGCCATTGAAGACCATTATAGCTTTGTGTTTTCCGTTGTGCTTAGACCAGGGGTCCGGAGTGAATATTTGAAGCTGGATCTCTTTAAAATCAAGCAATGAGAATTCTGGAAATTAGATGCCTTCCAACGGATTGTAAAATTTGGTTTAACTAATTTGAACACAAGAAATCATTAACCGCCCTCCATTGGCAACCCACCTTAAAGAGGTTTGAACTAAGAGCAGAAATACATGGATTAAAATTTGCAAGTTTTCATAACATTTTACGAAAAGGTTTACTTTGCGAATATGCGTCAATATAGCTCAGGGGTTAAGTTTTCCAATGTTTTCCACCTCTTCAGTCTAACTCCCAACAATTTTTCAAATTGTACTTCACTAATGAAAACAAATAAATTGATAGAGCCTCAGGAGAGATTCGAACTCACGATCTTTAGTTTACGAGAGGCATAACTTTCTGCAATCTTACTTTTATTGTGAAAGATATATTAACGCGTGATTGGTTGCAGTCCTCCTATAAATCTGTACTCTTCTCCATTCCGGATCAATGTTGAAATTTATTCAACAAATTCTGATTACATGGGTAGCCAATTCAACGGACAACTATTTATCAACAATTCCCTTAGTAGCCACAAAATCAATACTGCATGCTCTATGTAGAAAACGTAGAAAATCCACCAAAAATACCAAAGAATTTAAGCGATTATTTACCGCTTGGAGTACTTCAAGTTTCAAAGAAACCTAAAACGTGTTGTTGAAGTTTAAATTTCAGCTGATTTATTCGAAACATAAATATAAAGTTCTGCGCCGGCAGGCTGAAAATGAAGTGAGAACCATAATGCCTCAAAATAATACCCAAACATCTGTATGGAGTATACAGTATTATTATATACACAAGGTCTGGATATGAGGTATTCTGCAATCTCATTGGTTCTCTACTAGCAGGATATTATATCTTATTGGATTCTTCTGAGCCCAATATGGCAAAATATCAAGTCGAGACTTCAATATTGGGCGAGACCGAAGGTCGAGCCTAATATTGAAGTCGAGACTTAACATTTTGCCATATTGGGCGAAGATGAATCCAATAGGAGTTTTATTATATCGAACAAAACAATTCTATAACAAAAATTGTCAATAAGCGATAAAGTAAATACAGCGAGACTAATACAGCGACAACATTACTACATATATCGGCGGCGAATTTGCTTGAATAACTAAAAAAAAGTTAATAAACCTGTTTTTACAAATATGTGCACATAAATAAACTCAATTCCATGTATGTTTAAAAGAAATTTGACCTAATTTTAACGAAAAAATAATATTACTAACTTCTAGACTGTTGCAAACAAATAAATTTTGCGAAGACAAGTTTTCCCGCGCTTTTATAATTTTAAACAAAACTGGTAGAAAAAACTGTATTAATGTCCCAAATTCTTTTCATTATTCTGCCATATCGTTTGTCGTATGTTTGAAATTGAAAAAACATCTGAAAAGGGTTGAAAAACCATGAAAAAAGCCACAATTCGCAACTGCCCAATAGGTTCCTGTCCAATATCGTAAAATATTGGATCAGCACGTGACCCTCTCAACGATTACTGATTGGTTAAGTGCGCGTGAGTGTATAATAATAGCTAATATCCTACTAGTAGAGAAAAACAAAATGGCGGCTCAAACTGAATTTCCGATTTTTGCGAACGAGAAAACGGCAAGTTGTTCGCTTTTTGTAGCCTCTACAGGATTAAAAACACAATGAAAAAATTCCCACAAATTGTTTACAGGTTAGCAAATGAATTTTTAAAATTTAAAATGGTTAAAAATATATATTTTTGAAGAAATAATCGGCCGAAAGAGCGAAGAGAAAAACATAAACAAAATAGAAAAATATTGAAAATATCCAAAAAGCAAAGTCTGTGAATTCAAACCTTGTGTACATAATAAAACAGTTATTCCACTCACTCTCGTCGAATATGAGCGATAGCCGATTCGGCACTACGCGCCTCATCGGCTATCAGCTCATATTCGACTCGAGTTCGTAGAATTACTGTTAAATGTATACTGGTAAGCCAGTTACAATACAGATATGAGCTAATGAACCTCCAAGCCATTTCGTATTTTCCAACGATCATACTTCATATTGGTTTATAGTTATTTTCCCTTTTTTCACAATAACCCTCTTCGTAGTTCAAGATAATTTGGCTAGCAAAATACAAACGCTAAGAAAATCAGTTGTGGGCAGATGCCTCATTAGCTCAGTGGTTAGAGCACTGGTCTTGTAAACCAGGGGTCCGGAGTTCAATTCTCTGATGGGGCTCTTAATTGTGCGTAGCTTTTGAGAACAAATTTAAATCTGTATCGTTCCGGTGACAAATTTATTGTTTGTGAAACGATAGTCGTTGAATATTTGAAGCTGGATGTTTTTAAAATCAAGTAATGAGAATTTTGGAATTAAGATGTCTTGCAACGGATTGTAAAATTTGGTTTAACTAATTTGAACACAAGAAATCGATATCCGCCCTCAATTACGAACCCATCTCTAAAGAGGTGTGAACTAAAAGCAGAAATACATGCATAAGAAATTCCAAGTTTTCATGACATTTTAAGAAAAGGTTTACTGAACTAATATGCCTCGTTAGCTCAGGGCTAACAAAATACAAACGCTAAGAAAATCAGCGGTGGGCAGAAGCCTCATTAGCTCAGTGGTTAGAGCACAGGTCTTGTAAACCAGGGGTCTGGAGTTTAAATATCTGATGGGGCTCTTAATTGTGCATAGCTTTTGAGAACAAACTCAAATCTGTTTCGTTCCGGTGACAAATTTATTGTCCGTGAAAACTTGAAAAGATAGTCGTTGAATATTTGAAGCTGGATGTTTTTCAAATCAAGCAATGAGAATTCTGGAATTTAGATGTCTTTAACTTATTTGAACACAAGAAATCATTATTGGCCCTCTATTACCAACCCACCTCTGAAGAGGTTTGAACTAAAATCAGAAATACATGCACAAGAAATCCGAAGTTTTCGTAACATTTTAGGAAAAGTTTTACTGAACCCATAGCCTCATTAGCTGAGGGGTTAGAGCATTGGTCTTGTAAACCAGGGGTCTAGAGTTCAAATCTCTGATGAGGCTATACCATTCTTATTTTTAAAGGAAACATATAAAGGATTTCGGAATTCAATTTTTTCAACGTTTTCCACTTCTTCAGCCTGCAGTACCATGATACCATTGTGTATGAGCTGCCGTACATATTGGGAAGGATTTCAAAGAGATTGGCGATAAACAGCGGAGTAAAGTGGCGAATTTGGCCAAATAATTATATAAGTCCATTTGCAGGTGGTAGGTACATTTCAAATTATTATTTCGGTCACAAAGTATTAACTATTTTACAGCAAAGCAGTGATAATATACTTAAATAAGTACCAATTATGTTTCTATAAAAAAGATTTAGGAAAAAAGGTAATGTAGGTCCACTGATGTTTAACTGAATTTGTTAGTCACAAATTGACGTTCGACTATGAGTATTGCATGGTCATTTTCTTGTGAAATATCAGTGCTAGGCATTTCACACTTACCAATGACCACCCCTAAAACACCATCTCTGAACCATATAAGCACATCAGAATAGCCAAAGCTTTTATGGTTTGGTAGATAGCACTATGGCGAGAGCGTCGTTTTTGGGTGTGGTCAGTTTCAAACGGTTCGTCCCGGATTGGGGTTCGGGCAGCGTTACCATGTCGACCGTCATGGTCAACTTGCCCTAAAACAGTTGAGATTATCTGTCCTAAGTGAAATGCGTACAAACTCATATACAGGTCCTAAAAGACAGTTTCATGTATAGGCGCATTCACTATAATGAGTGATGACAACTTATAAGCCATACATTTTCCGATAACGACAAAACGCTTGTGTAGCTTTTAGTCGCTTTCAGTGACTAATAAATTTTTTTGAGGTGGGAGGCAAAAAATAATTTGAGGGGCAGGGGGGGGGGACATTTCACCCCTCTCCTTCCCCCCCCCCCCCCCCCCCCCCCCCCCCCCC